TGACCTCTAATACCTCTGTGACACAAAAATTACTTGCTTTCTACCCAGAATTGAGCCTTACTCAGAGACATCTCATCACACGAACTTTTTCTATCAGACTCTCTACAGACTCAACCTTCACTTCATTTGCTGACTTTAAACTCTGCAAGGAAGATAATTTTTTACTTTGTTCACCATCAGTTGGCTCCACTCCCAGAATGGTTTTATGTATATACTTGCAGCATGGGTAAACCCTTTGATTGTGATGTTGCCCTCAGGTGGATTGCTCCCCATGGGCTGCAACTCCAGTCTGGGGTTGCTCCTGTGGGGGCTCTCCATGGACTGCAGCCTTCTTCAGGCTGCTGCACCGTGGGCTCTTCCACAGCTGCATGTGGAGATCTGTTCCTCATGATGCCCGTGGGCTGCAGGGGGACAGACTGTTTCTCCATGGGCCTCTCCTGGGCTGCAGGGAACTCCTGCTCCACACCTGGAGCACCTCCTGCTCTGACACTGCGGTCTGCAAGACTGCTTCTGTCATGTTTTCCTCACACTGCCGTTCTTCACTCATTCTTCAGCTTGCTTTGACAGTAGCACTGCTGGCTGCCCTGACTGGCTCAGCTGTGCTGTGCCCTGCAGTGGAGCCACTGGAGCCATCTGGGACCAGCCTGGAGCAGCTACAGCCTCTCCACACAGAGGCTGCCCCAGCAACACTCTGACTGTCTACATTAAAAATGATCATGATGGCTAGAAAATGTAGTGTTTTGGAAGACAAGTGGGCAGAAGGCTAAGTATGCAGTTGCTGCAGTCAGCAGATGATCAGTGTGACAATACCATGGACAAACTCACAGCCTCCTCCAGAAAGCTGTTGCATCTCAGTTTGCTCTCTGCAACTGCCTGAAGGGAGATTGTAATGAGGTAGAGGTCAGCCTCTTCTCCTATGTAACTAGTGATAGGACTAGAGGGAATGGCCTCAAGTTGCACCAGGGGAGATTCAGGTTGGACGTTAGGAAATACTTCTCCAGAAGAGTGGTCAGATGCTGGGAGAGGCTGCCCAGGGAGGTGGTGGGGTCATCAACCTGGTGGTTTTCAAGAAGTGGTTATACTCAGTGTTATACTGAGGGACATTTAGTGGGGACTACTGCTGATAGATAGACAGCTAGCCTGGATGGTCTTAGAGGTCTTTTCCAACCTTGGTGATTCTGTGATCATGTGATGAACTTGGTGTCAAAGATGCATTCCTTTGTACTTTTTTTCCAAAGAACCATGCATTTTCTCTTCTTCTTTCTTACATTATATGTCCAGTTTTATCCAGACACATTAATCAAAAACTCCATGGTATGAGGAGGAAATATGTTACGTGTTTTTTCTAAATTCAAAGGAAGTGAATCATCCACGAACAGTAACACTTAAGAGTCTTGACCCGTGCCTTCTTAATTATTTAAAAATAAAGCTAGTCACATTCTGTTTTTGTTTTTGGCATTTGAGATGTTTCTTAGATGTGTCCTCATAACTTGCTCGCATCTCAATACCTTGTAGGCTAATCATAATTTTTTTATTTATCCTTTTGTCAATGGTTTACAGCCCAGTTTGGCTCAGTTCCATGACTAATGGGGCAGGGGGGACCCATGGACCCACGGACTGAGGAAGGGGGAAGAGGAAAAATGGAAAAGTGTAGGGAGATGGGTCTAAAAACAGAAGTGGCAGCGATCTGAGGAGAAAAGTTAATTTACTAAATATGATATTGGAATACAAGATAACACAATACTATGCAATATAATTGGAATTGAAGCTAATAAATCAAATAAAATGAGAGTGAGTGTTCAAAAACCGAAGGCCTTACTCTAATGCTAAAGGTGAGACAGCTAGGGAACACATGCTGCAGAGATGAGCAGAGAGGACATCTGGTGATCTGTGAGCAGTTTTATCTTCCCCTCTGAATGGAAAATGGAAACGAAAAATTCTCTGGGATATGTAGTTATTCTCTTCTGAAACAGGCATAGCCAAAACTATTGACAATCCACAGAATTGGAGCATTAATTCTTTAACTCCCTGTGCACTACATGATGTTATGATGTGGAATACTGGTAACAAAAATCATAAAGCCATGACACCTTTATTTATTTGCTTGTCCTCTGCACAAGAATGGTGTCTTGGAAATCAAAATGTTGAAGTATTTAAATCTATGTAATAGGGAAAATAAAACATACCAGATACAGTAGTTACCAGATTCAATAGTTACACTCTAACTAGATTTTTAGGAGTATGAAATTATTTATGAGTATAAAGCAATCTTCATGTCCTCTCAAGAGGAACTGATGTAATACTGTTTTTAGTACTGTGGATCTTAAAAAAAGTAAAAATAAAAACAAACAAAAAAAATCAAGTGATGAAAATTACAGAATTCAACACATTTATTTAAGCTTTTGGACATTTAATGCCCTCAGTCAGATGCATGGACTTTCCAGTACATATATAACAAACTATGTGTTTACCTGTGTACTGTGTTGCCCTTTGTGTTATTTTTGAGGGTAAGCAATCAATATGTTACTGTCTCAGTTGTTACTGCAAATATATAGAAAGGACAGGTTTTCCCTGTCAATAACAGATAGGAGTTTATGCCACAGGAAGCAATGGTTTATCAAATTTCTAATATTTCGGTGTCTGCTCATTGCCTCTTCTCTAATTGTCCACTAATTATCACTGAGAAGAGTCTGTCTCTGTCTTTCTTACTCCCTCCCATAATCTATTTATATACAATAATAGGATTCACCCCTTAGCTTTCTCTTCTCTGGCATAAGTAGGCAGTTTTAGAATGGAGGACTTTGATACTGTAGAGAAGTGGGTGCAGTTTACTCTTGAATCTCACCAACTATTTAACAAAATCACTGAATGATTGGGGTTGGTAGAGACCCCTGGACCTGCTCTAGCAGGATTACCTACAGAAGGTTGTCCAGGTCCATATCCAGATGGCTGGAGATGATGATGGAGACTCCAACACCTCAGGGCAAGCTCTGGCAGTGTTCAGTCAGAGGGAGCTGCCAGGACTACATTAGTCCTTGTGAGATACAGGGCATAAGCATTTGGGGGTCTACAAATATTATAAGGGGTGTTGTTCAGATACTCATGCTGGGATGTCTTGGTGAAGATCCAAAGGTAAGAGAATGGGATGAGTCCAGATGCATAATGGAGAAAGCAGGGTGGGCAAGAAGACTGACAATCCTAGGAAACTCTGGCTTGGAAAGGACAATGAGAGATGTCCAGGGCAGCCTCCTGTTCCAAGAAGCACCAACAAGGAGATCAGACCAGGGATCACAGACCGAGGACCCACAGGCATCACTGACTCCACACAGGACCACCAAAATTCAAACTCCATGTCTGACATCACTGTCCAAATGTTTCTTGAACTGCAGCAGTTTGAGGTCATGGCATGCACTGGGCAGCCTGCTGCAGTGCCTGACTACTCTCCCTCTTGGGTTCGGACCCTGTCCCCAGCCCCAGCTGCAGCCGCCATCAGGCCTCCCCTCAGCTCCTCTGCTCTGTGCTCAGCACACGCACAGGCCTCACTTGCTCCTCATACATCTTGCCCTTGAGACCTTTAACTATCTTTATAGCTCTCTTTTGGAGGCTTTCTAATATTTTATTTCCTTCTTATATTGTAGCTCTGTCATGGTTTTGGTTGGAATAAAGTTAATTTTCTTCACAATAGCTGATACGTTGCTGTGATTTCTTTTATTTTATTATGAAAATAATGCTGATAACAGACCAGTGTTTTCAGTTGATGCAGAACAGTGCTTACACTTAGTCAAGGACTATTCAGTTTCTTGCGCCACCCTATCAGCAAAAAGTAGGGTATACACAAGGAGTTGGGAGGGGACACAGCCAGGACAGCTGACCTAAACTGGCCAAAGGCATATTCTATGCCACGTAGCCTCCTGCTCACCATTAAGAGCTAGACAAAAAGAGAAAGGGGGACATTTGGAATGATAGCATTTTTGTTCCGAAGAAATTGTTGCACATAATGAGCCCTGCTTTCCTGGAACTGCCTGAACATCTTCCTGATGGGAAGTAGCAAATTAATTCCTTGTTTTGCTGTGCTTTCATGCACAGCTTTTGCTTTACCTAATAATCTGCTTTTATCTCAACCCATGATTTCTTGCGATTTTTCTCTTCTGCCCCCATCCTACCAGGGTAGAGTGAATGATCAGCATCTGACTGCCAGTGTTAAATCACAATGTGCACCCAAAATTGCACAGTCCTCGAGGTGAGACTGCACAGCACACAGCAGATCATGACAATCCCTTCCCTCACCCACTGGCAATGATGGGCCTGGTGCACTCCAGGGTATGGCTGACCCTTTTGGCTGCCTGGGCACACTGCTGGCTCATGCTATACTTGTGGACAGCCAGAACTGCCAGATTCCTCTCTGCAGGGCTGCTCTGCAGTCTCTTGTTTCCGAGTCTGTATGTACAACCAGGACTGCCCAGCTGCAGAATCCAGCACTTGCTCTAGTTGGACTTCATTAGGCTGGTGATTTCCTAGCCCTTCAATCCGTCAAGAATTCTGAAAGAAAGTCAACAGCTCCTTCCAGTTCAGTGCCACCTGCAAAGTTACTCAGTATGTCTTCAATTCATGCATCCAGGTCATTTGTGAAAACATCAGAGAAATGTAGCAGTACCTAAAATGTAGCAGTGGGGAGCCCCCTCTAGTGACTAGTTGCCATCCTGATGTAACATCCTTTGAGCTTCATACGCCAGCCAGTTGTTCACCTGTTGCATTATGCATTTGTCTAGCTGTATGCTAGGAGGCTTTGGGCTTCCTCCAGCCTGCTTAGAAAAAGCTCTAGGGATCCAGGTACAGGGCTACCAGCATGGTTACTCTTTACAGCATCTGCATTAGCAGGTCTTCAGGACACATTCCCTGGCTGATTATTACAAGGCTCAGACTGCCCTCTCCCAGCACTTAGAAGAGGGAGGCAGGAGCAGAAGAACAAAACATGCTCTGTTGCAGCAATTCTAGGAAACAAAATCATAACACACTCCAAGAAGCACATTGCTGAGATAGAACTAGAAAACATTTCCTGCAGACGGTTGTTCTTTGGAATGCTTACGGCTGTTTATTCCAACTCAAGGAAACGCAGGAGCCGAGCACGCAGCAGCAGCATGCTGAAGTTTCTGGGATGCTCATCCACGGGGCTTGGTGGGCGCTGCACAGCATTCGGCTGGGCTGGCTCTCTGAAGGTGCTGGGTGCAGAGATGCCAGAGGGCCCTGCAGGCTCTGTACTCCCTGCTATGGACTGATCATTGCTGTGACGCAGGCGCAGGCTGTAGCGCTGCTGCGGGGATCTGTTCCACATCCTCTCCCTGGCTGCATGCCTCTGGTGATGGGTGAACGTGCTGAGCATGTACTGCTGGTAGTCACCATCTGCTTGCATCGCGCACAAGATGTGGTCAAAAGGCTGCCTGCAGATGGGGCACACAGCATTGATGGCAGCCCACTGCCAGATACAGCTAAAGCAGAAACAGTGAAAGCAGGTGGGCACATGGGCAGCTTGGCAGATGGTGTCCAGGCAGATGGGACACCGGTTGTCTGCTGCCTGACACGGCCCTGCCTGCTGTAGCTTGCTTGCATTGCCCATTTCCGCAGAGCCACTCTGCTTCTGATCCTCCTGGGTGTTTGACGCCATGCCCTGCCAAAAGAAACATTCTAAGTACCTTTTCTTGCGTTGGTAAGAGAAAAGCAAAGGAAAGCTTATAAAGCAGTGGGAGAGAGGAGGGATGGGCACCCCAGAGGGTGCCCTTGCAACTGTAAACCTGTGAGCCATCCAGCTTATCTAGGCTGTGGACACAAAGTCAAGATTGCAAAGGCATAAATGACTGAAAAAGAAATCAATAAAATTGAAATTAATTAAATCATTAGATATTACCAGAAGAAGTCCTGGTGCAATCATCTTTGTTGAAAGAGCCACTAGCTAGTTCAGATTAATAGAAGATACTACTTAGACCAATTAGCAGTCTATCTACCCCTAATTCAGTCTCCAAAATGGCAAAAAGAGAAGCTACAAAAGAAGCCAGCCAATCTACAGTGGTTCTTTCACCCTGCAGTTCCCTATCATCCGCATTATTTTTGTTAAGGGAGTGTCAAATCTTCCTGAAGGATAGAGAAGCTGAAACAAATAAAGTATTTTTAATTTTCCTTTTAATTTCCAGTAGTCACATTCTAATATTTCATAAAATCAATGAGTAACATATTAATGATTATTTGCAGGGTATGACTTTGCAGGAAGTTTGTACTGACATACAGCAGCGGTGCTTAATGGAGTCCTGAACGAGGATTAATGTGTTTTAAGATCTCAGAGTTTTCATTTGAAATTCTTCTCTGACTTCCAAAGATCTAATTTTTTATTCTTTTTTCCTTGTAACAGGTTTTAGCAATGGCTGTAATTGTTTAATTGTTCTTTAAATGTTAAATAACAACTAATATTTCACTCCCCAAAATTGTATTAGTTTATCAATATATTTAAAGCCTGATTTATGACTTTTTAGGGGGCAGTCCTCAATGGCAGTTGTAGGTTCAAGGGTTTTACTTTAGCTGGACATCATGGTCACCTTTTGCAGTATTCATACATCCTAGAAATGTATTTACTATTAACCAAGTAGTGCTGCCAAAAGTGCTACCAGCAGGTTAAGAAATAAAAATTAATGAACTGCATTTTATCTTTTTTTTTTTTTTTTTTTCTTTTAAATACTATTTCGATGACAATCTTCCAAGCTTTAATAAATGTAATGGAAATTTCAGTTGCAAAAGTGCCCCCTCCTGAAACAGGTTGTTCAAGATACCATATGAATTGCGATCATGAACAGAGGATGTCATCTGAGTAATGTACACTTTTCAAGATAACATACTAAAGAAGTTAAACTACTTGCTGCCAGGTCTCCTGACTTGAGGTTTCTCATGTTCAACATCTTTGCACTTCTTGCATATTAACTGAGGAAATGACTAATTAAAAGAAGACAAAACTTCATTAAAAATTGCCCTTTTGACAGGCAGATAATGGAACTTGGAATTGGGCAGGGGAAATCTCAGTTCTACAGCCTAAACAAAAAATTGTAGAGATTTTATACAGTTCTATATAAAACTGATCTGTCAGGAAAGAAAATAGAGTAGAAAGAGCAATACCTATGTTCTTGTGAAGTACAAGATGGAGCACTGGAGGAAACAATGCACATTTGTAAAGAATGAATGCTGTACTTTTATGCTTTGCTGAAGAAGCATGCTATGGTCATAGTGAAAGTACCACTTACATTCTACCTCCTGTAAACTGCCTCTGTTTTCTACGATTTTTATCCATGATGATGCTCCATAAGGTGATAGCCATACTGTACTATTCTAAGAAAAAAAACCCACTCAATTTCTGAGCTGGTAAAATAGCCATAGTATGTTTTCTGGATACACATCATACAGTCACCTTAATATCAACACACAAGTTATTTCCATGGAGTCAGCACAGGTCACACCTGATTTCTAATGTCTGCTGAGTAGCCAATGCAATTAATATGTGTTATAAGTAGCATTTGATATCATTAGAATTCACATAATAAAAAAGAGCACATATAATAGAGTTGTACAAAGAGAAAGTTATTAAAACCAATAGCATACTACCTACTTAAAGGTGTACAGTTAAGGTTTCCATGGCAACCTTAACACTGCACTTCCTGCCTTTTGTATTTTAAAAGCTCATCTTCAATGTTGCTTTAATATAGTATTTTGCACTGAATATTTTTACCAATAGAAGGATTATTTTGAAACCTGACATTTCTAGGACTCCTAATACTAACCCAGTTTGCACAGCAACATAAATTATTCAGAAGAAACTGTACTAATACATATCTCACAACAATTACTGAGCTTCAGGCTGGTGTAATGAGTATGTGGTAGCCTATCTAGAGGTAAGGTGCTAGCAATTTCTCTTTGGAGCCCCACTTTGTTTCCTCCTCAACCCTGGCTGAAAAACTATCCGTCCTAAACAGTTAGATTAAAACTGATTAAAACTAATGGCAGCAAGGAATATGTCTGCAAATGTAAAATGGGAAACATTTGATTATTTGAATTATAGCTCATTAAAAAACTTATACCATAATGGTTTTGAGTAAAAGAAATACTTCAGATTACTGTTGCAGTACACTGCTCATTTTGAACCTCTAACTTTTGACTGGTCTTCTGTTAACTGATTCTGGCAAGAGTGTGCATGGGCACTCCATACACACAGATATCTGCTTGTTTCTTCACTGCTTACACTTCTATAGCGTAATACTAATATAAATGTTAGTAATCTGCATGAGAAGCTTGGGTTTGCAAAGTCAGAGGTCCAACTTTTTACATGCTGCTCTACTTAAATGCTAAGTAAAAAACACATTTTCAGTTACTTCTGTGTTAAGGCTTCAGAGGAAAGCCTCGAAGAAAACACATACAATACGTACTATAAAGTTTATGATACTTTTTATACTGAACAATAGGAATATTCAGATTTCTTGAGTAAAGAATCTGAAACTATAGAACATTTTATTTCAAAGTTTTTACAGTACATAAAAATGTACTGTATTCTGCCAAGTGTACTTAAAACTTGGCAAACTTCACAACAGCTTTTGTGTACAGAGGCCTATAATAACCAGAATAGTAGTGTTTAGTGGTTTAACCTGGCATGCAACTGAGCAACACACAGCTGTTCACTCCCTCCCTCCACAGTGGAATCCAGGAGAGAATTGAAGAAGGTGAATGTACAAGAACTTGTAGGTTATGATAAGAATAGTTTAAGAAGAGAGGAAAAAAAAAAGAGAAAAGATTAAAATACAAAGCAAGTAATGCGCTGTATGATTGCTTACCACCAGACGACTGATGCCCAGACCGTCCCAACGCTGCAGATCTCCTCCTGACCTATTCTCTCTGGTTTTATATGCCAAATGGTTCGAAATACCCCTTTGGCCAGTTTAGGTCAGCTGTCCTGGTTCTGTTCCCTCCCAGCTCCTTGTGTCCCCCCAGCCTCTCACTGGCAGGTCTGTACCAGCAGCTGAAATGTCCTTGGCTCTGCGCAGCCCTGCTCTGCAACGACTGAAACACCGGTGTGTTATCAACATTGTTCTCAGTCTAAATCCAAAACACAACATCAGCTACAGACACATCAGCACACATTTTTATCACTAAAGGCGCTAGAGAATGTTTTTCCATGAAATACCATCATCACATATATCTGAGTGACCAAAATTAGTGTTTAAACATGGAAAAAATTGAACTAAGCAAAATGAATTTTCAGCTGCATTGTCCACAAAGAATAAGCTATCAGAACCAGACATAAAAATGGAGACAGTAAAAAAATGTAACACAACAGAATGCAAGGTGACCACAACGGTCTTTTCCAACCTTAATGATTCTATGATCCTGTAAAAAAAAGAACAGTTCTCACAACCTACTCAATATCTTGCAGTGCAAGGAACTGAAGACAGCAGGTAGCAAGTAGTATTTTCTTTGCTAGCCCACAGTAGGCCACTCCCAACTTGTTCAAATCTCAGTGTCCTAGCTGAGGCATTCAGTATGGTCAGGTCTAACACAGGCATCATACCTAATGTCTCTACAAAAAGCTTAATTCTTTAAGAAAGAAAAAAAATTGTATTTATTTGTCCCTCCATTTGGCTATGCTAATATCTGCATGAAGTTAACCTAATGGTTAAGCGCTGTTTTCAGAGCCATTAACTTTAAATGGTCATTTCTCACCCACTGATAAAAAGACCAAGCCACAGAGAAATGTCTACTTCATAATATTTAGTGTCCTTAGTAAAAATCTGACCCTGAGAAACTGTCTTATTAGGCAAAGCCCTCCAAAGCTTTACTGATTAGTTTAGGAGTTGGGGAACATCAGTATCTCCCCAGGACTACAATGGATTGAAAATAAAGCAAATAATGTGAAAGCACAGTTTTGGAGAGCTAAGAATCGAATAATATCATCCACTGCTTTCAATCAAAATTCAGAACTTATTTTTTAAAATTTGTCTTTATTTGCACAGCAGAGAAAGCAGCAACATTAAGGAAAATACAAAACTTAGAACCTCCTGTTTAAAAGAAGTTGTGTTTAAAGGAATCCAATTACAAAATTTACAATACCAAATCACTGAAGTCATGCAATTGTTAACAAATACATACTAAACTAACTTGTGCACAGCATTAACAACTTAGCATAACGGCCTTGATTTTATTATGTTGTCCCACAACGTCAGAGGCAGATGGTGATGGTACAGCAGTAGAAGATGAACCTTCTTACCAATATCCTGTTATATTTTCTAGTTGTGTGACAGATGGCAGCAGAGGGGCATTCCAACAATTTGGTGTCTGACATGGAAGGGCATGCAGAACAAAGGTGTGTCACTGAATTCCTCCATCTGAAAAATGACACCCAATGATATTCACTGACACTTGCTGAGCATTTATGGAGACCAAACAGTGGATGAGAGCACAGTGAGGCAGTGGATGGTGTGTTTCAGCAGTGCTGACGGTGTGTCACCTCCACAAGCACAGATTTTTATAAGTGCAGCATGATGGCTCTTGTTCATTGCTGGCAAAATTGCTCTCCTCATGGTGGTGACTCTGCTGAAAAGCAGTGTTTTGTAGCTAAGATTTTCCTCCATTAAATAGCATTATTGTGCTGTTTGTATCTGTTGGAGTTTCCATGGAAACAAATAGGAAGCATTACTTTTGGAGCAACACGTGTGTTTTTCTTGCATAGTCACTATATATTTCAATGTCAATGTCTATGGAATACTCACTGCTTTTCAAATATAGTTCACTGCAGATTGTGTGATATGCATACGAGCATATAAAACCTTACTGTAATAAAGAAATACGTCACCTTATTTCTCAAATAAAGAGAAAGTACATACAGGCATAACACTATTATTATTAAACCTGGTTCAACATTGAACATCAGAATGAGGCTGTCACACAATGAGGAAGATATAATGCATTTGTCTAATTAAAAACAAAGAACAATTAAAAAAAAAAACATTCATTTTGCCCTCAGTATTTATTTGCAAAACTTTTGGATCATGTTTTTAATGCAGTAGATACTTACATGTACGCCTGAGAACCTATAGCAATAGATTTGTGTACACCTGACTTAAGTTCTTATTAATATCTTGTATTGTTTTCCTGAGAAAAGCTGCTTTTTGCCTCATACATAAAATTTATTTTAGACCTAAGTCTCTGGTTTGGCATCAGTCCCAGAATATCCTGGTTGCTAAACAAATGGCAAAGTATATCATATGGATATCATCATGAAAAAACTGCAGTCTTCACTGTGGATTCTGCATCATATTAATCTCCTTTCAGCTCCGTTCATTTCATCGTAGTTACATTTCTTATTTTAATTTACTTACCATGTTAGGTCTCAGCACAAAATATGAAAATGGCATATTTATAATGAAATGCCAGTTTCATTATTTTAGACCTGGCCCTAACATGAGCAACATAAAAAGTGATACATTCCGGCTGTTTCTGATACTGAAAAATGCTTTAAGAAAGTTGATTTGTTTCCCAGTGAGGAGAGCATATGGCTGCTTGCTGTTGTAAAGCATATTCTAAACATACAGCTGGCTGAGTTCCCATACATCTTGCCCAGTGTAAACAGAGTGAGAAAAGAGGCTGTAGACTTCTTAGGAATTTTAAGGTTTCCATAGAAGAATAACTTTTTCCTCTGTTTGGTTTTGTTTATTTTTTGCCTTTTTTTTTTCCTACTCCAGCTACTGAATTTTGAACTCCTTTGATCAAACTTTTCAGAACTATTTACCTTCAAATAGTACCCAAATTTGGAGTATTTCAACTCTAAAGAAGTTTCAGAAAACCACAAAACAAAAACAAACAAGAACTTTAATGTTGTTTAATTATTTCCTTTCCATAACAGAGATTTTAACTACTGTACTGGAGCAGTAATAAGAACTGCTGTATCCAGAATTAGGTTCTGAAAGTAATTTTCTTCCCTACCCAACATAAATAAATGTTATTTACAGTTTTTAGAGGCAAAATTCAGCCATCTGCTTCTATTAAGGATTACAAACTTATTTCATTGTTCAGTTTCTTCGCTGTTGTTCCAATAAATTTGCATAACAAACTGTTCTAATAATTGTACCATATTTATTCTAAAACAATATTATCTTTGGAGGCAAGAAGTACACGATGAATCCTAATCCTATCCTATTCTGGAGTTCAGCTGAAATCTCTAGTGCTAGTTTTCAAACCCCCTGTTGCTCAGCTCTGATTATCTCTTGACAAGCAACCTGATTCTTCACAAGAATGACTAAAACAAAAAGTAAGGCTTTGAAGCTCTTTTCTTATACAAGAGGATCTATGCTATCTGTTAACTCTTAGGGATCACAATCAGGAGCAGGATGGAAGAATGCACACAATGAAAAAAAAGCAGAATAGCTCTCTTGTCAAAGCACAGAGATCTGCCTCATAGGGCTGTTGCTGATTTGTAAAACACTAGGTTATTTCAAGTCCTTCATAGAAAAGTGTAGCTATTTTGAAAAACAGGTGAACAGTCTGAACAACAACAACAACAAAAGTATCTGTTACACTATTTATTCTCAGTTCTACCTCTCCTCAGGGTGCAAGTATTTCAGCTCATTCTTGCTTTTGCATTCATAGTCTTCGTACATCTACCACCACTCGGAGCGAAATCCTGATTTCTTTACCCAAATATTATATTATTGACTAACTTTGGAACTTAATTCTGAATTTGATAGCAATTAAGCTATCAATTAAAAATACCTGCACTGACTGCCTGCTCTCTAGGTCTCACTTGGCACTGCTCATCAGTGGGACAGAACTGCCACCTACTCCTCCCCATCCTGCCACAGAAATGTCACAGCCACACGCTGTACAAGACACAGCTTACGGCATGGTTGTCCAACCTTTTGGCTTACTTGGGCCACACTAAATGAATGGGAATTGCCTTGAGATACATATAAAATATATAATTAATGTATTATATAACAAAACTTACTTTTACTTTGTTTTTTTTTTTTTTTAATTAAAATATATATTAAAAAATCAACACAATCATAAAACTAGTGCTATGTTTGGTCTTGTTTTTGTGTGAATGCACCAAGTGGTTCAGTGGCAGTGGATTAGATTTTTAGTTAAGTTCTAAAGGCGTCCGTCAGAGATTTCTGATGAAATATTACTCTTCCTGTGCATCATCCTTGACAGTAATTTTTCTCAAATGCACATACTGCCAAAAAGCGATGACATGAATAAGGTGTGACTGTGAAGAGAGAGAGATTTTTCTCTAGTAAAAGAGAGCTTATGAAAGTCTTGCAAGGAGACAGGACCAGATTCTGAGTTAAATGTCTGATTGCAACTCTATACATATCATAAGGAAATTTGCAAGCAATGCATTTATGTCAACTGAAAATGGAGTCCCAAATATATAAAAAAATAACTTTTTTGGAAATCTTGAAACCTGCTCTCATATTTATCAAAATGTAATGCACAGCTGCTTATTTTTCACTGTTCACAGAAGTGTGTTCAGCCAATGCATCAAAATGCATGAAATTATTTGCTATAAATTAAGCTTGCCATAACTTAAGTTTTGTTTCAAATGCTGTTGTTGTCTGAAACTAGACACAGCCAAGGTTATTTTCATTTTGAAGACACATGCTCAACTCATCTAAATGAGCAGTCCCAAGCATAAAAATGCTAAAGTAGTGAGCTTCTTTTAATCTTCAGATTCTGGCAGAAATTTTCCTTTTGATTCCGCAAAAGGGCTTGTTTTCACTCTGCAAATCATAAAGCTTAAATTTTTAGCTTTTTACATTGACTTAACCACCTTCCTTCAGAAAAATGATGACCCCATAATCAGCAGCTATACTTTTA